TTAATAGACACCACAAGTGGGTGGCTTTATATAACAGAAGTGGATTTTCTTCAGTTCAGGAGGCTAGACCTCCTAATCCAGCCCGGGGGGGAGGCCCTGCCTTGTCTGTTTCAGCTTTTTGTGGCTGCCAGCAGCCCTTGGCATTCTTGGACTTACAGAGGCATCTGTGTCTGCAGTCTCTTCCTTCCTCCTGCCGTGTGTGTGTGTGTGTGTGTGTGTGTCTATTCCGCTCCTTTTATGACTCAGAAGTTATGAAAAGGTTTCGATGCCACCCTACAGGGTATGGCCTCATTAACATAATTCCTCATTGGGAGGAAGGAGGAAAGTCAACATTAATGTAATGTCTAGGACAGTGGCTCTCCCCTGGGGTGTGATTTTGTCCCCCAGGGGCCCTTTGGCAATGTCTGGAGACATTTTTGGTTGTCTCACTCGAGAGGAAGGGGTTCTACTGGCACCTAGTCAGTAGAGGCCAGGGATGGCACTAAATGTCAGTGTACAGGACTACCTGCCACAGCAACATGTCCACAGTGCGAGACCACATTCAGGGTACATCTCGTCCATCTCAGGTACTACACTCATCCTGTAAGGAAAGCAGCGTTATCATTTCATTTTTGCAAAAATGTTTAGTGATGTGGCAGGATCTGAACCCGGGTCTTTCTTACCCTGAAGTCCATGCCTTTTCTGCTATTCTTTTCTGTGGTGGAGGAGGAGGAGAGACAGAGCGTCAGAAGGGATGGGGAGACGGAAAGAGGCAGGCACACACACTTCCCGCGCCTGGGAAAGCACTGGAAGGGCTGGTGGAACCCTAGCATAGGTTTCCAAGTTTGCCCTCCAGGTGGCCCCCCCAGCCCAGCTTCAGCTGGACTTAAAAATCCTCTTGGCAGTTGTCTTTCCCTCTTTGCAGCTGAGTTAATGGCAGAAGCTGTGAATAGAGCTTGTGCTTGCTAATAACCTTCCAGTTAGTCGCTTTGGTTTTGTCTTAATTACCTTCCTAATTTGCACTTTTGGTGGAGCACCTGGGCTGTGAGCTTCAGTGCCTTTTCCCTGGTCCCTTCCTGTTCCACCCAGTGGGTGCTCTCTGCCTGCCATCTGTTGATCCTGCCATAGTTCTCTTATTTATGCTGTCCCCACCCATACCATTTGTCTTGGTTTCTCATTTAGCTTACCACTGAAGTGTTACTCCTGCCTTCTGACGTGGTTTGTAATTACAGGTTTCCCTCACTATCCGAAAGTAGAGTGTTTCTATGAAACCTTAGCTGAAATGATGTAAGGTGAAGAAGCAGTTACCGTTAATTTATATGGGAAAATATTTGACACCCCAAAATAACCTCCCAACTCATACAAATAACATAGAACCCTCAACACTAACACACTAACTTCTGTCTTGTTTCTGCAAAAGGGAAAATCCTCTTTGGATTTCTTTGGCTTAGTGAAAACAGGTACTAATGCATGTCTGTCATAAAAGGCAACTGGTGGTAAAGGGAACTTTTGAAGAGCGGAGGATACCTGTGTTAGGGTCTCTTCCTTCATTGCCTCTTCTTCCCCTTTCCCTTTCTGAATCCAGCGGGGAAGGGAGCTGCCCCGACCTTCTCTTGGGGCAGCCGGTGCTTTGGGGAAGGGCTGTGGTTCCCTCCCCTGGGGCCTGTGAAGAGAAGAGGATAGCCCATCACAGGATGTTGCTTTGGGAATGAGTCCCCCATTGGCATGGCCAAGGCACAGGCCAGAGGGGAGAGCGACAATGTGCTCAAGTGCCCTGTCCTGCTTTGGGGCAGAGACCCAAATGCCAGTACTCACCTCCTCATATAGCCCATCACACCTCAGGGAAAACCACAAGACCAGCGCAGCCAACTGGGTGACCAAGGGCACTCCATAGGGAGGGGAACAGGGGACTGAGTCCAAGCCCTGCCTGTGCCCCTCGCCAGCTGTTGTGCTGAAAAACGGCAATCCCGTTTTTCTTATCAGTCAGCCGGTTCCTCCCCTCAGCAAGTGGGTTGCATGGGCAGGGAATCAAACCCGGGCATGGCAGGCGAGAATTCTGCCACTGAACCACTGGTAGCGTAGGGCATAAGGCACTTGACTGCTAACCAGAAGGCTGGCGGTTCAAACCCACCAGCCACTCCTCGGAAGGAAAGATGGAGCAACCTACTTCCATAGTGTTACGGCTTCAGAAACCCAAGGAAGAGTCTATATGTGTTGGGCCTGACTCAGTGACACATAACAACAACAACAACCCCTCAGCAACCTCCCCACAGAGCTGCTGTGAACATCTTCTAAGTCCAAAGGTGGGGCTGCCTGCTAAATAGCTGGCTGGGGTTATTTTGCTAATGAGACTAGGTCCTATTTGCCCTGGGCTGCACTTCATTTACATTAAAAAGAACAGACCAGCTGTCATTTAGGGTCTCTCCAAGAGAGGTCCAGCCCCCTCTGGTGTCAGGAGACTCCTCTCAGTCCCTCCCCAGGTTTTGACGCCTCTCCCTAGTGGGTCAGGGGTCGCTGGTGAGGAGTTTGGCCCTAGATAACCTGGTGTTACTGAAGGAGGTAGATTGCAGTCTCTGCCATGTGGTACAAACGGGTTGGGAATAGCAGGGTTGTAGACTTGACTCTCTGAAGACAGGAGACTGGCCCCATGGTGGCATCTGACTTTCTACCTTGTGACCATGGGCATGGGCAGCTCCAGAGATTCGGGTTGCACCAAAGGAGATTGCCTTTGCCATGATGGAAAGCCATCTGACACCCTCAGACATAGCCATTGCTGCCGTCCTAAAATTCAGCTCTAACCTGGGAGGAAAAATGTGGAACAAAATTCAAAAACACAAAGATGACCTGTAACAGGCACCTCACGTTGGGCACTTGTTCCTGCCATCGGTACAGGGTGGACATGGTCTTCTGCAATGGCCAGGGAGATAGATGTGAGGGGAACTCTACTAGGAAGGGCTTTCCTTCCCAAATAACAAGACAATGACTCAACTAAGAAAGATTTTTGCTTTTCTGCCTTCTTCCTGCCTAGGGTGTAGGCGAAATGCCTGATGATGGCAGCCGCTTTGCAACTAACCAGCCAGTTGCCATCTGCGGTTGTTGTTGTTAGATGCCGTTGCGTCACTTCCATCTTGTAGTGATGCTGTGTACTACAGAATGAAACACTGTCCAGTCCTGTGCCAGCCTCACAATCCTTGCATTGCTTGAGTCCATTATTGCAGCCACTGTGGTAGTCCATCTCATTGAGGGTCTTCCCCTTTTTCCCTGACCCACCACTCTACCAAGCATGAGACCCTTCTCCAGGGAATGGTTCCTTCTGACAACATGACCAAAGTAGGTGAGACGAAGTCTGGCCATTCTTGCTTCCAAGGAGCATTCCGGCTGCACTTCTTCCAGAGCAGATTTGCCCATTTTTCTGGCAGGCTAGTCGACTCCAATTCATGGTGACACCAACTCATGGCGACCCCATGTGTGTCAGAGCAGAACTGTCCTCCTTAGTGTCTCCAGTGGCTGATTGTTTAGAAGTAGATTGCCAGGCCTTTTGCAGCATCTCCCGATGGACTTGAACCTGTAGCTTCTTAGTTAGCAGCTGAGCCTATTAACCATTGCCACCACCCAGGATCTCCAGTTTGCAATTATGAGGACAAAACTGGTGAGGATGAAAGAGTAGAAAGATGGAAGGAGCCTGGATCTTTGATGACATCATTGGGCCACCTTATCAACCTTGGGCTTCTTGTAGGAGCTAAAAAAAAAAAGCCCTAAGGAGACCTGGTGGCACAACAGTTAAGTGCTTGGCTGCTAACCAAAAGGTTGGTGGTTCAAAACCAGCTAGTGGCTCCATAGGAGAAAGAGCTGGAGAACCGCTTCCATAAAGATTACAGCCTAGAAAACCTATGGGAACAATTAGTCCAAGGTTATGATGGACCCCAAGACCAGAAGAACTAGATGGTGCCCAGCTACCAATGCCAGCCACCCAGAAAGGGATCAAAACTGGAGATCCTGGATTGAGTGGGAGGAAAAATGTGGAACAAAATTCAAAAACACAAAGATGACCAGAATTACTGGTCAGATAGTGTCTGGTGGAACCCCCAAGACTGTGGCCCTGGGTTATCTTTCGGGCCTGGAATTAGACTCACTCCCATGGATTGGTTCTCAGCCCAGTAGTAGAAAGACCTACAAGAAGAAGACCTACCCCAGGGTGATACACCCTTTAGAGCAGTCGGCCATGGGGCACCAGGGGGCAGCATTCACATAGAGGGGAAGCTGGACAGACAGGAGTGCATAGTTAAAAAGGGTACAGAGGGGGTTGTCATAGGGATGGGAGGGCAGGAGAGTTTGTTTTGGTCGGGGATGATAATTGGGGAATAAAATCAAATGTACACAAGCTATTGAATGTAAAACAAATTTTTCTTTGTAAATTTGCACCCAAAGCACAATGAAATTAAAAGAAAAAAAGAAAAGAAAACCTATGGGGCAGTTTTACTCTGTCTTACGGGGTCACTATGAATCAAAAGTCAGCTGGATGGTCTCTAACAACCACCACCATGAGAAAAAGAAAAGCCTTGTTTGTTTAGGTCAGGGGTTATCAAAAGTGCCAAATCGTGAAATTACAGGCTTTGGGGGCCGTTCAGCTTCTGCCACAGTGACTCCACTCTTCCCTTACAGTGAGAAAGCAGCCACAGACCATGTGTCAATGATGAGTGTGATTGTGCGCCAATAAAACTGTATGGACACTAGAATTTTAATTCCATATAATTTTCATGAAATTCTGTAAGTTATATGAAATATTTCTTCTTTGATTTTTTTTTTTCCAATGTTTTAAAAATGTAAAAACTATTCACGGCTTGTCAGCCATGCTTGGAGCCTGATTTGACCTGTGGGCCATAATTTGCTGGTTTAAACTCTGCTGTGTGGATTTTCTGCTTCTGGCAGCTTAATGCAGTCTTACTTGAAACACTGATATGGTGATGTGCCTTACTGGAAAATTGTTGCTAACCCCTGGTGCTTTTTTGTGTCTGTTTCAGAGGGTCTTGCTGTTGGAGTTGGATTTGGGGCCATAGAAAAGACTGCATCTGCCACCTTTGAGAGTGCTAGGTAAGCCTGCACCTGGGTACCCGGTGCCCTAGCGCTTTGCAGTGCACCGAGTGGTGCTGGGAAATGCTTATTACCTGGCTGGTTCTGACGTTCCAGGTCTGAGTGAGCAGTCTGCACTTATTTGTTTAGCACTGATGTCCCACCGGGACAAGACTGGTGGAGGTGGGAAGGTATGGTGAAGCTCATTCCTGAGAGAGGTAGTCAGCCAAAGAAGCAGGTTGGCACTGCATTTTCAAATGAACTGTCTGGTGGGGAACGCAAAGCATGAATATAATTGCATGCTGCTCTCTAAATCCATTAAATGTATTACGACTTAAGCAAGAGTATAACCCAGGCAGCATTTGATGCTGCTGACTGACCCCTCCTTTTAAAGGCCTCCCCTTGGCTTTCTTGACCCTGGTTTCCTCCCCTCTCGCTCCTGCTCCTTTTTTGGTTCTCATCCTCTGGTCCTTTCTTGAATGTTGACGTTCTGCCAGGATCTGTCTCTGGAGCACCCTTTAGTCTCACTCAGCACACTCTCCCTGGGCCATCTTACTCATTCCCATGGCTTTATTTCCCCTCAGTAGTCAATCCTCATGATTCACAGATTCTGTTTTTATTTGTAACCCCAAAATCAATACTTGTGGTGTTTTCATAGTCAGTTGTGGACCAGTGCAGAGTGAGGAAGAATTTGAGCCACCCTGCATGTGTTGTTCCCTGCTGCAGCCAAGAGGGTGACACTCTGCCTTCTTGTTCCAGCTCTCATACTATAAACAAATGTCCCTTTCACTGTCTATTTGTGCCATGTTTTTTGCATTCTTGTGGTTTTCTGTTGGTGATTTTGTTCTTTAAAATGACTCCAAGCATAATGTTGAAGTGCTGTCTGGTGTTCCCCAGAAGGCTGTGATAGTCCTTGTGGAGAAAATACATATGTTACACATATATTAGATAAAGCGTGAGTTATAGTGCTGTTGGCTGTGAGTTTAATGTTAATGAATCAATAATATATATTAACTGAAGTGTCTTTAAACAGAAACACACATAAAACAAGGTTATGTATTGATTGATTAACAAAAATGTTGTGATCAGGGGCTTTCCAGACCCTACCCCTGTGTTTTCCCAGGAGCTTTGGTTCAGTACTAAGTCGGTGTCCACAGTGACTTTGTAGGACATAACTATTCTAAGTGACAAGAATTGACTATATTAGTGACACCAAGTCTGTCTCCAGCCTAGATTTCTCCTGACCTTTATTCCTACGTGTCCTGCTACCGTGAAGACATCTCCCTTAGATGTTTCAAGGATCCTCACACTCCACATTTCCAAAATGTAGCTTCTTTTCCCCATTGGCTGCCCTGCAAAACCTGCTCCTCCTCCCCTGTTCCCTCTCACACTTGCACCCAGGTGTCCAAGCCAAGCTCATGCGTCATCCTTGACTCCTCACTTGCTCTTACCTTCTACAAACAAGGAATCATCAGGCCCTGTAAACTCTTCATCTCTTCTACTTGCACTTGAATTCAACAGGGCCTAGATCAAGTCATAGCCGGATGTCATACAGTTAATGAGCTCAGTTGCTAACTGAAAGGTTAGTGGTTTGAATCCATCCAAAGGCACCTTTAAAGACAAGCCTGCTGATCTGCTTCTGAAAAGTCAGCCTTTAAAAACCCTGTGGTGCTCAGTTCTACTCTGACACATGAGGTCCCAATGGTTCTGATTCAATTTGGCAGCAACTTGTTGACCAGTTCTTAGATCAGGTCAGAGGGTTGGGAACACAAAGTGAACATGAGACATCACAGAGGTGAGCTCTGAATGGTCCACCCCAGTCCATAAAACCACATGTACTACAGTCTTCAGGCTCAGGGAGACCAGGAGTGGAGCTCCCCCTCCAAGGCAGCCAACTCACATGCCTTCAGGGGACTGAGATGTAACAAAATTGAGTGGAGCCAAGCAGGAGAAGGCAGTTGGGAATGGTGAGGGCTGAGGTGAACTTATAATGGACAGTATATGCCGTATCTAAATGCATTTGAATTCAGTTATTTACAGACATAATTTGAATGAAGAATATAATCAATGTCCCTGAATTGTAAATGTGAAAATTGTTGAATTGGTAAAGGTTTTGTTCTGTATATTTTCACTATAAAAAAAAAAACAAGCTAACAAACAAAACCAACTATGGTAGTTAAGGTTATGTGTCAACTTAACTGGGCCTGGTTGAGCGGCTGGGGAGCTGGTTGTAGTTACTCCCCATGGTGAGATCTACTGGAGCAGCTGAGTAGCTGCCTTAGGGATGTGTGGACGTGTGGTCTGCTTCCAGTATGTAAGGAGAAGTGTTGAGAAAGGTCTGTAGCTTTTGGCACACTTGAATCCTGCCTGTAGCCCAGTCGTCTTTCAATAGTCTGCCGTGATGTCTGCCAATCTTGGGACTGTCAATGGACTCCAATCAGTGGCCTGCCATATGGTTTGGTAATATTGGAACTGTCCCTTTTTACTTGTCGACTTTGCATTTGTCAGCCTCAGCAGCCAGCCGCTGCCTGAGTGAAGTAAGGCTCCAGCTTCAGTGGGCCAGGAGTAAGAGGCAGAGCTGAAGCCCAAGGTTGAGGGGCTTTCTTTCACCCAGCCCCTAGAACTTGATACTTAGAACTTGGACTTCTGGCCTCAAAAACTGTGAGAGAATAAACTCCTGTTTGTTAAAGTCACCCATTTATGGTATTTTCTGTTAGAGCATCACTAGAGACCAGAACACCAGCCCTATGGAACAGTTCTGCTCTGACACACATGGGATGCCATAATTCAAAATCGACTTGATAGCAACTAGTTTGGTATTTTAAATATATTTTAAAATAATAATAAGTTGGGCCAAACACATAGTCCAAGTGCTACTGATCTGTGACCCCAAAATCTAGCTCATTCTAGTGTTTTCAGATTGGTGCAATCCTAAATTCTTTATTTAAGGAAATGGCACCATCTCCAGTTATCAGCCCTAGATCTGTTGGCCGTGGCCATGGTCTCAGCAGGAACTAGCTTCTCACATAACCTTTCGTCCACCTTTACCCAGTGATGTAGGCCTCTTTATGCTCCGTGACGACTATTTGGACAACATCATGTCCTTGAATCTGTATTCCCAGCTGACATGCTGGAAAGTGTAGTTATTGCTGGCCACCAGATTCTTAAGGTCATGAACATGTGTGTTGGTTGGAATGTTCTGGGTTGAAATATTCCCAGTTCTCAATGCCTTCCTCCAGGCTGTCCGTCTCCCAAGTCTCCTTGCTGTGTCTCTAGCATCATCTGTAAAATGATGCCAGTTGTGAAAATCACGTGGGACAGGAGATGGGGAAGGGCCTTTAGAACAGAAGAAATGCCACCAAATGAAGGTGAATTGTGACTCATTATGCCCTCTTCCACTGGGCATGGGTGGGGTCTTTGGCTCTTTGCCCCTTGGCTCAACCATTTTGATCTTGGCTTCATTGGACCATGAAATGCTCCAGAGTCAAGCAGCACTGGTGGGCTGAAGAGGCTGACCCTGAAGAGGGGCTGACCTTGTAAGCATTCAAAGGCCAGGTCTTCCCAGAGCACAGGAGAACACACACACTGCGGAAGGTCTGTGCCAGCAAGTGCCAGCCATGCCCCAGGCATGGTGCTCACCATGCCCCCGTCTAGTGGTGCCTCTTTCCCATGATATCACACTCAAGTCCAGGGCTCCTCTATCCTGCTGCCTGCAGTTTCTGATCTTTATAAATACTTCTGCAGAAAGCAGAGCAAAAACAGCTGCAACCAGGCTTCTCCCTTCCCTTGGCCAAATCAGTTCTCTTTGCTTTCTCTAAATCCTCAGTAAGATCGCCTAGCTGGGATTGGGTTGGGGCAGCACGTGCCAATATTTCCAGCCTCACAAAATCCTCTGGTCGGTAAGCATCACTGGGGAGGGTTTTGCCCCCACCTCCCACCCAACCCCCGATCACAGACTGGGGCCAAGTTGAGTTCTGCTACCATCACCGTCACAGCCACGCAGTGTCCCTAGAGTGAGCTCCCTACGCTGCAGCTTGTCGCAGGTGAACAGGAAAGAACCTTCTCCTTCAAGCAGACACCACCCTTTGGCCTGTTTTTCCCATTTACAATTCCATGTAAAGCTTGCAGTTTTTCTAAAAGCCTAGGATTTTACTCTGGACGGTCACGTGCAGAGCAGCTCCTAGACATGGCTTGTTAGCTCTCTCTGTCCTTTGTTCATGATGGGGATCTGGGTTTTGGGGGAGGGTGGAGACTAGAGGATAATGGAAGATGAGAACTTCCTACTCAGGCAGCCGACAGGAAGGGCACTTGACCAGTTGTGGGCTGGACAGACAGGCCTGAACAACCCTGTAGGCTACAGGGAGCCCAACTGAGAGGCTAAACCAAAACCAGCCCACCCATTGCCGTGGAGTTGATTCCAACTCATGGCAACCCTTTATGTTACAGAGTAGGACTGCTTCCTAGAGTTTTCTTGGCTGTAACCCTATGGAGCAGTTCTACTGTGTAACATGTGGTATATAGTGTATATGTGTGTATGGTTGGGGACAGGATCATCGTGAGTTGAACACAAGAGCGCCAGACAGCAACAATAACCACAATCTTTGTGGAAACATATTGCCAGGCCTTTCTCATGTAGAACCACTGGGTGGGTTGGAACAGCCAACCTTTTGGTTAGTAGCTGAGTGCTTAACCATGTATGCCATCCCGGGACCTCGAACAAGTAGCTAGTTGGGGCCAGTGTTCTTTGTCCTCACACTGGGAGGTTAAGGGATGAGGCATCCTGCCATTGTCACTTTGGTGCTTTTGACCTGCTGTCTATAATCATGTGTGGGGTCCAGAGAACAGCCTTCTAGAATCAGGAAGCAGGCTGCAATGGTGTCCCTCTGCCGAGGCAGCCTCCTATCTTAGATTACCATCTTCAATTCTGGGATGCAACTTCAGCTTGCTAAATGGTGTCAGATCCACCCACACTTGTTCGCAGTTCATTCTTCCAAGAGAGGAAGAAAGCAGTCAGAGTGGGA